ATGTGTAGCAGAAACCTGCAGAACATTAACGAATCCACCCCCCCCCCCGCCCCCCCCCCCCCCCTTTTCTCCCTCTTCCCCCCCCCCCACCCCCCCAAGCCTGTTGAAAAGCGTAAGATAAATACAGAAAACCACAAAACTTGGGCTATACAATAGTATCAATGAGACGAGAAACGATGATATCCAACAATAGTTTGGGGGGGGGGGGGGGGGGGGAGATTTCATCAACGCCTGCACAATTCAACAAGACACTTCTAGAGAACAGCTAATGAATAAAGACACCAGAAAACGACATAGCAAGCGTCAGAACAAACAAGCGTGTCGAAAATACTGACAGTGACCAGGGGGAGAAAGAAACAAACAGAATTGCTCGTCACACGGAAGAATTGTGAAGCGAGTGCGTGTCCTGTGTACGAACAGCCAGCCCCGAGCGCGCACACACAACACAAGTTCCAGACAGGTGGTTATCGGAAGAATTTAACCGTGTTATGAATAGAATATGGTCACAGATTATGTATAAACAAATTCAGGTCGATATAAGGTGTTATGTTTACTGTGGTTTTATTGACTAATTAAATAAATATTTGTGTTTTCGTGTTGTATGTGTCGCCCAAAACAACGAATTGCGTCGTCACGTGACTGAGTGAGACTGCACGCGTTGTTGTTGTTTACATTTATTACTGATTTTTTAAAAAAATAACAGCTCCAGGATTTAGTTTTCGTTTCTGTTATTCAGAATTAGAGCCCTAAAATGTGGTTGTCAGTACTGACATACAAATTACAGCTCCGTGATCTGGTTTTCATTACTCACATTCGAAGGAACTGCAGCTCTGAAATCTTGTTTGTGAAGTTGGCTTTCAAACTACTACAGCTTCGGGATCTGGTTATCAGTAGTGGGACATAGAAATACAGCGACGAGATCTGGTTTTCATACTGATATACAAAAATACAGCTACGAGATCTGGTTTTCCTACTGATATACAAAAATACAGCTACGAGATCTGGTGCTACTGATAGATCTGGCTTTAAGATCTTTTTCATACTCATTCGACATACATACAACTTCATATCGTTTTCATATATCTAGTTCACAGTACAGTTTTCATACTGATATACTGGAAATACAGCTACGAGATTTCATTTTCATTAACGACTGGCTATCCCCTCTAGGACTGGCATTTATACAAAGCTAATACAAACTCTGGCATCTGGTATTTTAAAAGGTGTGGGGGGAGTATCTTGTAAATGCAGGTATGTATTACATATTCCTTTGTTATTCATTACATAACTCACCAGTTGATCCGCGGTGCTTTAGTGGTTAGTATGTGTAACGACCAAAGTTTTACTGTAACGATAGAAGTTGTACCGTAGTGAGATAACCCTCTCATGATTTATGTCCACAGAAGCAGGACTTAGAAAGGCATAGACACAAAAAAAAATGACAGCCACTAGGTTAGCAGCATGTTGTGGAATACGAGAAGAAGGGAGATATGTTAGTGTTATGGGTTCAAATAGAACGAATGAATAGAAGGGTGAAAGAACCGACTATCATTCGGGTTTGGCGTTGGAACGAGTGGCCTGGAAGAGGGAAGGCGAGTGAATCTGAGGACGAGTCTACCCAAGCTACATACAGCGGCTAAGATATCTGGCCTTTTGTATCGGTCAAAATAGGTGTCAGCGTGATGACTTGCAGCTGTGATGACTGCCAGTTCTCTGCCAGCTGTGATGACCTCTGGTCATAATCCTAGACAACCGTTTAGTGACAGAGGGCTGGAAGTGTGTCACTATACATGCTTATGAAGACATTTTACCCGGGTTTTATCCCTAAAGGGGAATAAACTCTTTCTCTGTCTCTTACTCTCCCTCTGTCTCTTCCTTTCCCTCTGTCTCTTCCTCTTCCTCTGTCTCTTCCACTCCCTGTCTCTATTCCTCTTTCTCTGTCTCTCTCTTCCGCTCCCGCTGTCTCTCCCTCTCCACCTCTCACTCTCTGTCGTTCTCTCCCGCTGCCTCTCCAGCTCTGTCTCTATCTCTCCCTCTCTCTGTCTGCCTCTCTCTCCTTTATTATGTTTGTTTATCTCTGTCTCTCCTACTCTCTCTCTGTCTCTACTTCGTTGTCGGTATGTGTATATCGCTCTCCCACCTCGCTGTCTCTCCCTCTTTGTTTATCTCGTCGTGTCTACCTCTCTCTTTCCTCTCTAGCTCTCTCTCTCTCTCTCTCTCTCTCTCTGTCTCGTTCTTCTCTCTTTGTCCCCATGTCTCTATGTCCATCTCTCCCATCTATCTCTCCCTCTCGGTCTTTCCCTCTCTTTATCTCGATCTGTCTCTCTGTCTCTCTCCCTCTCTCTCTGAAGGTTCTGGCATAGAACCAACTTTGGATCCGAAGGTAGCGTATAACTCTAACTCTTTCTGTCCCGGGCAGTTATTGCCCCTACTTGTTTAACCCGAAGGTAAAGGCAAGAAAAAGAACCAGTTTAACGAAGCGAAGTTATCAGAGATAAGTTTCGAACTTAACACATCTCAGAAATGAATCTCTTTAAAATCAATCTGGTCTTTCAAATCTGTCACAATTTTAAAACAATAAGATCAAAGCCGCTCAAGTCTATTTAATCTCAAACTGTTCAGCATTTTATCTTCTGTTCTTACTCGTCCTCTTTTTCCCCTCCAACTTTCCTACCGTCACAATGTACTCCAGTTGTTGTCCTTATAATATGACCAAAGAAAACTTTTATAGTTTACAGGCCCATCTCCGCCCATTGACGCGCTTATAATTGACGGCCCCCGCTCTGCTGTCCGATGGTCAAGTGCAACGCCTTCTCTGATAGACAAGGTGTGGTCAAGTGTAACTGGCAGCGGTGTCATGGAGACCTCTCTGTACTGTTTGAAAAGCTTTGTGACTTGTCTTCTGTCGGCTCTGTGGCTAAGTCGATGCGAACGATTCGTAATGCCGGGGTGCTGGGTTCGATCCCAGCAGTGGACCATGCGCCTTGCGTTGGTTTCGACAGTGGTATCAGGGGGCCGTCCGTCCAGAGGCAGTGGCAAACTACTGGACGTAAATTGCCTAGAGAAACCACACAACAGCCAGGGACTGCTGGGGTTGGTTCTGCACCGTCATGTGAAGGATACGCAGCTAACCTTAACCTTGTCTTTTATTTATGTTTTCACTCAGAGGAAGAAATGAGTTCTCCTGGGAGGGGGTGTTAGTTCCAGTTCTGCATGTTTTGGGACCGTAAAAAGTGCGCGATATGACCGACCGACCGGGACACCCCTGTAACCTTCAGTGAAGTTGACGAGCCCAACAAAGTTTGAATGAAAACTGACCTAGTTTGTAAATGGGCGGAGATGACGCAGATAGGCCTGAAAATGAGAAATGTACCGACAAATGAATGTACACTGTCTCTTTCTGATGAGGGAGATGTTCTCTCTGTGAGTCAGTTTCTTTCAAGAAAAATGACTTTTTAAAAAGAATTGTCTTTCTTAAATCTAACCAGGTTATTCCTATCATTCGTCTAAAAATGAAATGAAAGGTCCCTCTTCCGCCTATGTTAGGCTTATTGGGTATTTAGGGCTAGACCTATAATTTATAGACTAAACGGCACGTGGTGGGTGATGTGGTTAGTATGACGCCTGCCGCCTTTACTTCACATACATCTGGTACCCACTCAAGGCTGGGTCGACCTGGGAGCCAAGGTCATATTTGACCGTCAGGAACCGAACCCACGACCTTCCGCTCCGCAGCGAGCGTCTAGCCACTAAACCACGGCGACTGTCATCATTCATCTATAATGGACTATAACAAGAAGAAGACCTTGGCTTCCATGTCGACCCAGCCTAAAATGGGTTGCAGGTAAATTCTTGGAAAGTACAGGCGGTTGGCGTGATGCTGACCACATCACCCACCGATACTGACTGGTTAAAAAAAAGTCTAACCCTATATGCCTAGTAAGCTTGAAGGTGTGGAAAAGAGTCCTTTGTTTACTAAAAATAATTCTGATGGTATTTTTTTCGATTTCACGATTTCAAACACGATCGCTGGTTGGAGGTACTAAAACCATGTTGAAATTTGACGCCTGAGTGAGCGAATTCTACTGTATGCGTTATCTCGTTCATCTGATCGATTTCTGTCAAGTTGTCGCCTGTTTCTCTTATCTACCACGGAAGCGCGAGATTTCTTGATTTCCACATGTAGGTCATCTCATTTGGCGGCTGCTTTCCCTTGGAGGTATTTGTTTATTTGAAGCGGCCAAGCCGTTTGCTTCCAACTCTGAAGGTCGAGGTTTCGTTCAATTCACGAATCCAGTTTTTTACAGAGACCCCTAGTGGTCGTCGCCAGAGCTACTGTGTTCGTGCTTTCTGCGACACTGACGGCAAAGGCTAACTGTTTTACGGAGAAACAGAGCTATTGTACGTTTTCAAAACTCACGCCCTCACACATTAGGCACTTGGCTTTAGAGTCCCCATGTCCTAATGATTCTATAAGTCAACAATTGCACAGCCGCTGCTGTTTTATTTAAGCGGTAAATTTCCTTGACCTTGGTTTAACGAATCATTTTTGCACCCCTCAAAAATAGAATATACGATAATTGACACACGTGTGAAGATTATTTTGATGGTCAAAGGCTCTATCAGCCTCGAGCGCCCCAGAGACACCGGCTAACCCTAACTGTAACCAAAAGCCCTAAAGCTAACCCTAATTAAAAGCCCTAAAGCTAACCCTAATTAAATGCCCTAAAGCTAACCCTAACTAAAAGCCCTGAAGCTAACCCTAATTAAAAGCCCTAAAGCTAACCCTAATTAAATGCCCTAAAGCTAACCCTAACTAAAAGCCCTGAAGCTAACCATAATTAAAAGCCCTATAGCTAACCATAATTCATAACACGCATAGAATTTGAACTTTCATGTTAATTTCGTTATTTACTTTGTTTTTGGCAAATAAAAAAGAAAGTGCAAATCGATGACTATAACAAATGACTACTTCTTTCCACAATTTTCATGTACTCCAGCCTTGAGGAAACAAGCAGGTATCTACAACCCGTATCTATGCTAATGATGGGCTCTACAGTTGGCTGCACTGCATGGCAACCAACAAATCACGTGCTGTATCATCTGGCCAATGGAATGCTGTGTGTGGGACTCATGGTTCCGGACTCCAATTATGGCGCCCTTTTCTTGCACGGACTCATGTTTCTAGGTAATGTCATCTGTTTCTAATGAATTTGGTCACTGTATACTGATGTTTCTCTTTATAGACCACCATCACCACCACTTTTGCTACCATTCCTACTATCACTACAATTGCTGCTGCTACAACAACAACAGCTGTTACTACTACTACTACTACTACAACAACAACTACTACTACTACTACTACTACTACTACTACTACTACTACTACTACTACTACTACTACTACTACTACTACTACTACTACTACTACTACTACTACTACTACTACTACTACTACTACTACTACTCCTACTACTACTACTACTACTACTACTACTACTACTACTACTACTACTACTAATCCTACTCCTACAACTAATACTACCACTGCTGCTTCTGCTACTACTACCACAACAACAGCAACAACTTCTACTACTACTACTACTACTACTACTACTACTACTACTACTACTACTACTACTACTACTACTACTACTACTACTACTACTACTACTACTACTACTACTACTACTAATAATAATAATAATAATAATAATAGTAAAAATAATAATAATAATGCTAATACTGCTGCTGCTGCAACTACTAGTACTACAACTACTGCTACTATTACTACACCAACATTAACACCAACTACAACAACAAAAACAACTACTACTACTACTACAACTACTACAAAAACAACTAATACTACTACAACTACTACAAACTATAACAAATACTACAAGTACTACAACTGTTTCTACATGTACAACTACTACTCCAACTACAATGACAGTTTTTGTTTGCATAAGCAGTTTGTACATCTGCAAAGGCTAGTTAACATGATACCACAGACATTTAATTATAGTTTAAAAACATACTCTAAAACGTATCACTTGTATCACTATTCTCTTTTTAATTACATTTTGTTATGGTAGGGGAGGGGGTCCTCACCATATACTCAAAGGGGAAAAGGGAGGGAAAAAGGGGGGGGGGGGGGAGATCTTAAATATACTCAAGAGGGCGTGGGTGTCTTGCCATATACTTAGGGGGCGTGGGGGTCTTGCCATATACTTAGGGGCGTGGGGGTCTTGCCATATACTTAGGGGGCGTGGGGGTCTTGCCATATACTTAGGAGGCGTGGGGGTCTTGGTGGATATTCAAGAGGGTCGCCACCTAAAAAGCATGGAGGTCACAGCTCTACACGCTCACGGTCTGGAAACAGTCAGTACTATCCATCAAGCAGTGAATCGCGCAAACGTCTTACTCAGCACGCCTAACGTTAAACGTGTTAGGTAGGCAGGTGCTTGGCTGCAAATACAATTTAAAAGGTCGTCACCATCAACTAGCATGCCTGAAGAGGGGAGCTTTAGGTTATAATTGTGACTAGGTTATGTGCGCCATATCAAATCGCTTAGCAATGCACGCCACCAATATCCATGAAAAGGATTCCTGTAGTGTCGAGGCAATCAAGGACAGACACAGATACTTGTCCCGGCCGGCGACAATGTCGTCTACCGGCGAGCCAATAGACGGCCCGGTCACCGATTTGAACGATAGAAGTGAACAATGGAGATAATGATGATGATAATGATATTTACAGATCAGAACAAGTCCTTATACTGCGTCTTAGAAGAGGACACAGCCGATTACGCAGCCACGTGCAGACGCAGTTTGTTTGTTTGTTTGAGTATCCAGAAGCCATGAGTTGTTAACCCTTAGGCTCGGTATTATGGATATCGCAATCTTTCGGCCTTGATTCCATTGTAAATACGGTAAATCTAGGAGATATGTGGCTTTTCTGCCTACCCCCGGGAGTAAACCCGGACCACAAGGAGTTTCATCACCCGGTCACCGCGCAATCCGGTTTAGCCAACTACGCCAGAGAGCCGGGGGCAGTTTAAGTTAAGATAGGTGTATCATGCATGTGCACATGTGGACAGTCGCTCCAGACACCGCATATAACACATTATGACAAACCTTTTAGCCTAAAAGAACAACAGTGTAAAAGAAACTGCGGACGACTCAATGAACTAAAAACTAAGGTTAAATGTATACAACAGACATAATTGCTGATATAAATAGCTTATTTCAGAAAAACGAAAGAAGAAAACGATCAGGATGATGATGGTGGTGGTGATGGTGATGATGATGATGGTGGTGATGGTGGTGGTAATGATGATTATAAATATGTAAATGAACCATTTTGAAAAGATAATTACCTCGATGAACTGACCACATGATTTGGACAGGACAAAACGAATACAGACTCGATAAGTAATTAAGGTAATGGTGTGATACGGTACCGGATGACCGCCCACTGGTACTGAGCTTCAGTTGACTGAAGCTCAGTTAATAAACAACATTTACTCTCACCGTTAATTTGCATATATGATTACAGTTTACCAGGTAGACAGATCTAATTGTGAGGAAGACAGGGGTTATGAGGAATTTATTATTATTATTAGAGTTCACCAGCTGAAAACTCCCGTTCTAGTTGTTGGTCCATTTCTGGATATTTTTTTCCCCTTCCAGCATTGACTAGGTGTGTTGTTTCTTTCAAAGACGGAGTTTCGCAGAGTTTGAACTCGGTTTCAGTTTAACAGAGATATGGATCTTATAATGTTTGAGAAATGGACCAGGTAGCGTTGTGTTGATGAAGTGAGCTGTTTCTTTCTAATACTTGGTTTCTCAGTTTGGGTTCTTGATTGCTAATTATGGACAACAAACCATGTTGTGATTCTCTGTGGTTATTTGTATTTAGAACTCATGTGTGGCAGTGTTGTACTGATGAAATGTGTGACTTCTTGCAAACCGAAACTCGGCGAGTGTGGATTGGATTGGCTTTTTACCCCACCAGGACATCACACAAGCAATAAACACCCGATGACACAAAGTGCCACCATGCGGATGAGGATCACCGTGGAGAGGTCCCAGAAACCGCGTTCAGACATTTGGCCATAATGATGACCTGCCTATATTGCGGCCCCTGGCAAAAGCCAGAGTGGGGCTTCAAATAACAAAAAATAACGTCCTAAGAAGGACATAAGAAATAATAATGATTTTAATCGGCGAGTGTGAATAGTTTTTATTACTTGTTGGTTTCAGCATCTGCAGAAATTGCGTGTTACCAAATATAGATGAGACAGTCTGCCATTTGATTTGTATTCTTAAGATAATAAAGAGGGCTGCGTGGTTTCGAGGCATGGTGTCTGCCTCGAGTGCTAGAGGTTCCGGGTTCAATCCCCGGTAAAGGCTGGGATTTTTTCACGTGGACTTGGACTTCTAGTAATTCCCCCTGGTCTCTGGGTAATGAGATTGGACGCCCGTGTTGTGCATTGTTGCATACGTAAAAAATCTCTTGACAGTTGAAAATCTAAAAGAGTAGCCTAACGGCACTGCCTGGGCAAGATTCTGAGTTACAAATCTACCCAAAATATTTCAGGATCTTCGCCGGTGCTGCTGAAGTTTGTGCACTGCGCTGAGATTCTCTGGGCTCATACTTAAGTTAGAAGTAGAACGCAGCACTTATGGTGTTGATCCTAAACCTAAACCATTGCACCACATTCTTTCTCACAACCAGGATTTCTGTTAATGTCCATTTGGTCATGGGTGATCTTGTGTGCGCCGGATTTCTTCTCATGGAACTTTGCTTTTCTCATTCTCAACGGGATCCAGACCTTTTCTCTCCTGTATAGAATCCGGCCCGTCAAATTCTGCGCCGAACTGGAAGACGTCTACGTGAGCTTGTTTATGCCGCTACAAGTGTCGAGGTAAGCGTGGCCATCTCTCTTCACTATTACAACAAAACACTGTTAATGCTTTAATCCTTTGCTGTTCCGAAGTATGTGACTTTAGAGATCCACACACTTTGAGCCGCAACCTTTGAGCTGCAGTCTAAGTGCCACATCCTTAGAGTCCAAACTATAGCGCCACATCTTTAGAACCACAATCTTGCAACCACAGTCTTAGAGACTCGGCGTCAGTGGCTTAGGCGTTACGAGTCCGACTCGTAATTCCAACGTACCGCAATCGAAACCCACTGCTGGCTGCTTGGAGTTTTATCGAAGTATGTGGCGTCGCAGGTAGAACCAAACTAAAATGGGTACCAGGATGTATGTTCTGGGGAAGTAAAGACGGCTGAGGTAATGCTGACCATATTAACCACCTAGTGCCGATTGGCCTGTAAAAATATGGGTGCTTTTCTTATATGCCCGATGCGACCTAAAGGCGTGAAAATGGATCTGTACTTCTACTTTTGCAGTCAGGAAGACAGTTTCTTGGAGTCACTGTCCTAGAGCAACACCTTTCTAGAAGTACTATCTTCCAGCTCTAGCAAAGCCCTACGGCTTGGACCATAGAAGATCATCTGTGTCGGAATTGACCGAAAGTACACGAGCTGAAAGACTGTGAATAGCATCAATACCAAAGCCTCACGACATGAAATGTAGGAAGAAGAACACACAGTTAACAGAAGATAATGTAAGCAAACAATGAACAACAACAACAAACAACGCTGTTGTTATAAATGAGATCAATGAAAAGGGTGAGACTGGAGAAGGAAACCTCACAGTACCAGTTGTGTATCATTAACATTTGCACCAATATATAGATCATTACAGTCTGATGAGAATTGCAATGCGGGAAGTTAACAAGGGATCTGGTTGACACTCAACACTCAAGGGAAGGTGATACGTGTGTAAAATCCGACTGTTACAAGTACCATCATAGTTAAAACTCTTCGTTTGCTGCTGAAGATGGAGATGGAGCGCGTATGGGTGTGTCCTGAGTGCTTTTGATGTCGATTATAAATTCAACATTCAATATTACATTTGAATTTCTACTATTCTTTTTATTCTACTAATATTATGTATTATCATTTTTATTGTTATGACTTTTTTTCCGACCTTCCTTTATTTTATTCATTCCATATCACCCTTTAATAGTTTTTCACCTGAGCCCTGGTGGGCGTTCATAGTTGCAGTACTCTCCCCTTTGTTGTTATTTGTGTAGTTCAGTCCATGACGAGAAAGGCCCCGGCCGAGACGACGATTTGTGTGTTTTGTGCACGTTGTTCTGCTTTCCTATTTCGTTAAGCTTTGTTTAGTCATAGTTCACTTGATTAATTTCTTGGTATTAGCTTGACTGCAGTCACCCCCTATTCTCACGTTACCTTGCAGGCAGCTCTACAAGAGACTGGTGGGCCCAGAGTTCTGCTCCTTGATGACATTGCACGAAGGCGAGACATACGCTACCCAGTCTGTGACACGGACGGACAAGCTTGGGCTGCTGATTACAGGCGTGTAAGTGGGCTGTGTGGTAGCAGTGTTTGTATAGTAGGATTGTGTGGTAGGAATGTGGGGTAGAACTGTGTGGTAGCGATGTGGGATATAGAGCGTGTGTTAACAATGTGTGGTAGTGATGTGGATTCGAGCGTGTGGTGGCAATATTTGGTAATATTGTGTGGTAGCAATGTGTTAATAGGACTGAGTGATAGTAATGTGTGATATGATTTTTTTCCTATAATGCGGGTCTTATGAGTGTGTGTTTGCAATGTGTGATATGCCTGTATTGTAGCAATTATAGTAATTATCAACCTTAGGGTGATTCGAACATTGGTGTCCCGCATCATAGACCTGTGTTCTTAACCGTTCGGTCAGCCGCGCAGCGCGACTTCTGTGACAAACTGTTCCTCAACCAGAGAGAGACGAGAAGATCACTCTGTGAGAGAAGTCACGTCATTTGAAACATCCTCCTCCACCTATACACTTGCTAGTCTGACAAGCATCTACCACCATTCTGGGCCTTCATTCGACGATGAATTTCTGAAGGTTTTACCTTGTCAAGGATTTTTTTTTAAAGTTATAACTTAACACTGCCTTACATTTGGTGCATGTCAAAAGTGCGGCGGCCATCTTTAAACTGTCAGTATAACGTGACAGTGGATTTGATGGTCGTGGAATCGGGTCCTGACGAAGCCGTTTTTTTAAAACGACCTTAGCTTTCCAGGTCGATCCACCCTTAAATGGGTACCAGGTGCATTCCTGGGTTATAAAGGCGATTGACTTGATGCTGACTACATCATCAACCAACTGCCGATTGGTCTATAAATATGAAGACGTGGACATATGCTCTTTACTTTACCTTTACCTTACCTACCATCATTTACAACAACATGAGCAGTCAAGATTTCAACAGCCACTACCTCCACATACGGTTTCAGCAGTCAACTTTCAGTCAGAATGTTTGTAACTCAGCTGTTTTCCCGACTTTGCTGTGTCCCCAGAATGCACGCCTACAGCAATCGATGTCTGCTGCATTCCATCACGGAGAAACAGTTCATTGACTCTCCCGAGTTTGAGTCCACTTGCACAGGAGAGGAAAAGTTTCAGGTAAACAGTAAATATCTATGTTTCTCATATTAACACTGTCCCCGTTTGGGTTCCAACGCTCCCTTTTGGATGTAGAGGAATAGACCCTCCAAATTGTGTATCCCTTACAGGACGTTGCAGAACCAACTCCGGCATTTTTTTGTTGTTTTGGCTGTTGCGGTTCTTCAATCAAACGTGACGTTAAGTAGTATGTCATTACCCTCTAAACGGTCAGCTCTAGGTACCACTGTCGAAACCAGCGCAAGACAAACCGTCCGCAGCTGGGATCGAACCTGGCACTCTGGCATTACTAAGCCTAAGACACAGACGCCAACCCTAAAAAGCATTTCGTAAAAGACGTCTTTTTACGAGTGTCTACTTCGAAGTCGGAGGCTTCTACCTGAGAGACGTGGAATCAGCCGTCTGCATAGAAAAAAACCATATCTGTAAAACTGATGTGCACGCAAAACTCAAGTTCTGGATAAGGAACAAGGTATAGAGTGCGCGAACAACCAAGACTTTCTGCCGGAGTTTACAGTTGGTGAACGTGAGGAAGAAGAATATTTACAGTGCATTAGTAGAGAGTTTTTTGGGAAAATAGTAATGACATGAAGCTCGGTCTCTCGCCGGCTCTCCTGCTTCGTGTACTTTCATACTCCAGCAGTCCCTTACATCTTGTGCCCATCGTCGTGTTGGTCGACCCCTGCCCCTATTTCCTGGTACAATGTCTTCTGCTATTATTTTTTTCCAGTCCGTCATGGCGCTTGATATGACCAAAATATTTCAGCTTCCGAGGCAAAATCCTGTTTATTAGCCAGTCTTTCGAACCCACTAATCAACCTAATAAATCGAATGGATGTTACCATCGTGTGGATTCTGGAGCCCTTTTATGAGGAATGGAGGAGTGGATAATTGACCCGCTACCCACTTAGACAAAGCATGTCGTAAAAGGCCTTAAGCTTTTGCTAAAATCGGATGTGTTAAAAAAAAAGATGCAGCTACTGCAGCCTCTGCTGTAAAAACACACAACTCCTTTTATAAGAATGAACACAGAAGAAGAACACATTTTTTTTCTACATAGCTTTGTCTTTATGAAACAAAACTCCGGGCAGATGTATAGTATATGCTTTCCTCTAGGTAGCAGATGTCACATTAGCACACAAACGCGCCCACAAGTAAAATTAGAAGATGAGATTTAATTAATGACACATATCAAATTATTCTATTACATAGTCATATTATCTTCTAATTGTTTTTAAAACGAGTTATTTTTTTTTGTTTTTATTCGCAGAGGTTCAAAGATCTGTTCTTTAACTTAACGCTGCCTCACTTTTGGTGCATGTCAAAGGTGCGGCGGTCATCTTCTATTTTCAAACTATTGGAACTTAACTCTTATTTCCAATAAGTTTTCCGCACAAATATTCAATTTTTATTAGCGTAACCACGTTTAAAAAAAGATTGAAGCTGTAGTGAAATGAAGATTAATTGTTGCTACTTAAGTGATTATATTTCTGAAGTAAATTCTAAAAAAAAAATTTTTTGTTTAAAGGGAGCCAGTCAGGCTTGATTTGAGTTTAGCTAGTTTGAGTTGGTTCAAGAACCGACATCACAGCACTCAGGCATTCTCATAAACACACACTCAGTCTTAAGCAGCCAGCGCAGTGTCCCAGTACCAGTGGTGCCAGTAGCATTCTGATTATATGTCTGTCTTGCCTTTCCTCTGAGCGTCGAGTATCGGCCAGATGCCCTCGTCACTCCTCGCTGCATCACTCTCACCAGACTGATGATCCATTTGCTCCTCTGTATTGTACACGTGCTTCCGTAAGGTCTTAACCACGTCTGTCTTATCATGCATGAATATTCTACCAAGCTGTGCAGAGCCAGCCAATCTGTCTGCTTGTTTATTTCCCTACACACAAAGGCACAGCTAATCACACATCATGCTTTCTTTGGTAATAAAAAATGTGTGGCTTGCAGTTAACAAGCTAGATGTAATGAGGAAAGATGGACTTAGGAACAATGATATCAGGAGGAGGGTCGGCACAGAACCAGTACTGAACTTCATAGGTAGACAATAAATCAAATGGTTTGGCCATGAAACAAGACATGGCACCACAAAGAGCGATGTTATTGAGATACAACGGTAACAGACCTAGAGGTCGACCACGCAGAAATGGACCGCAGAAATGTCAGAGACATTGAGAAAGTACTTTATACGAAGCAAACAGAAACGCCCGTTCTAGAGATCTCTTCCTACCCTGAAGCCGCAAGGCATTCCAGGAGTAGTGAAAAAAAAGTAGTAGTAGTAGTATACTTCCTGGAATGGCTGTAAATTCTGCTGCTATTGCCTTCTCCGCAGGTGTCCATAGTCGCCACTGGGATGTGTCGCTACATGTTCTGGCCTCGCCAGAGTCTCGAGTACCTTCTCATCAAAGAACCCTACCTGGCCTACGTTATGAAGGTGATCATTGGACGGGACATCACCAACAAACTATACGCGATAAATGAAAAGGTAGGCATCCAACACCAGCCCTCAGTAACAGGGGCGCGGACATATTGGAGGGGGGGGGGAGAAATGGGGAAAAAGCTGGTGGTGCCTCAAGCTCTTTCAAATGTTCTAAGAAAAAAAGTTATCGTGCCTCCAAAGGCCTAAGCTTGTTAGAATGCTTACAACAACAGCAACAACAACAACTACTACTACTACTACTACTACCACTACTACCACTGCTACTGCTGCTGCTGCTGCGACTGTAACTACTACTACTATTACTACTTACTACTACTACTACTATTACTACTGCTACTACTAATACTACCACCACCACTACTACTAATAATGCAGCTGCTGCCACTGTGACTACTACTACCACCACCACTACTACTAATAATGCAGCTGCTGCCACTGTGACTACTACTACCACTACTACTACTACCACCACTACTACTACTACTACTACCACTACTACTACTACCACTACTACTACTACTACTACCACTACTACTACTACTACTACCACTACTACTACTACCACTACTACTACTATTACTGTTGCTGCTGCCCCTACTTCTACTACTAATAATAATTATAAATAATAATAGTAACAGTAATAATAATCTCGTCCTTATCTTAGCATTCACCAGCTATAAATTCCGATGGAAAATTCTGGCTGTTCATCCATTTTTGGACATTAGTCTTGTTCCAGAACTTTAGTTTTGTGTGCACATCTGTTTCACAGATCTGGCCTATTTGTACGTATGCTGTTGGTTTGTCTTCTCTAAAGCAGATACCTTTTGACTTAAAGAAAACAACTCTAGTTAGTGACCTTTAACGACATTCTTGTGTTATAGAGGTCCAGTTAGTCTGTTCTTATAGCTTTTAAATAGGACTCCAGAGGCCACACTGAGAGTAGTAGTAATAGTACAGCAGCAGTAGTGATAATACAGAATGTTGGTTATAATGATTACTTTACTTTGATCTAGCAATAATTATATGGGCTAATGTCCAGTAAATCAGTCTATTCACATATTGAACCATGCAGCAGTGATTCCTAAACTGTGTGCCGCGGCACTCCAGGGAGCCACAACCTCTTTCACAGGAGCGCTGCGAAAAGTTGTAAAAGCTTCATAGTTAATTTAACCAAGACACGAAAAGTTATACTTTTACTTAGGTTAGAGCGCCGTGGAAATTTTTTTTATTGAAAATAGGCGCCGCGACCAAGACAAGTTTGAGAAACACTGTCATACAGAGCTAATCTTGCTTTTCCAATGACAGGTGGCAGGGTCACGGTTGGACATTCGTCTCCCTGGGCTAGCCTCCCATCTACGACAGAGGAGGGATCTCCGTTCAGCTCTTCGTGGAGCTATGGGATCTGATATGACACCCAGACGCCAGATCCACCGTGCTGAACACGAGAACGACTTGGACAAAAACTCGGATGCTGAAGAAAGTAAGTTATTTTTTTTCCCCTGTGTATTTTCAACTCTGACAGTACCAGAAAGATTCATGGGACATACCAAAGTACTCTGTCAGTACCAGAAAGGTTCAGGGGATATACCGAAGTACTCTGTCAGTACTAGAAAGATTCATGGGACATACCAAAGTACTCAGTCAGTACCAGAAAGGTTCAGGGGAGATACCAAAGTACTCTGTCAGTACCAGAAAGGTTCACGGGAGATACCAAAGTGTCATTACCAGAAAGGTTCAAGGAAGAAAGCAAAGTGACACAATAATCTTCTTCTTCTTTGTGTTTACCAGCTGTAACTCTGGCAGAAAGTTCTGGTTGTTCGGCCACCTCTGGACTGCAGTCCTGTTCCAGAACTTGAGTGTTGCGTGTGCATCCATTTAAGAGATCTGACTAATTTGTATGCAGACTGTTGGTTCCTTGCCTCTCAGACAGATGTACTCCAACTTAGAAGGAAGTTCCCAGTTAGTCGATTAGTCGACTCTTACAACATGCTTTGGGTACGCAGTTGGTCAATATTTTGGTGCGAAATCATCAGTACTTTGCTTTTAAATTGGCAATATACATTGCCGCTGTAACCAATGATAGAAGCCAGATTTCTTCAATATACTTTGATCAAACTGTAAAAGAAAGAGACTGTTTTATGCTATGGAGGGGAATCAAGGGGTAAAATAATTCATACTCCGTGTGTTGTGTGGGACTGAAAGGGTTAGGTGTCATCTCCGCACTGCAGGTTGGCTTCAGTAGTTATATGCAGCAACTGATGTCATAAAAATATTACTTTGTGGGGTCTGGAAAGTTTCACAGTGCAACCTTTCTAAACCACCCACTGTCGTTATCAGAGCCTGGCATGACTAGAATGTAAAACTCATTCACTAAATTCTAAGCCAATGAGCTGTGTGGTTGTATGCATTATTGTATGACTTAATTATTCATAATGACAAAAATGCTGGCCACCACTCTTTATGTCATGATCTAGAATTTGGAAGAAATATACATTTTAGTATTTTGTTTCAAACGAATTCATGTGCTAACCCTAGTCCATCATATTATCAATTACTTCCGTTATTGACACAATATAAATTAAATTTTAAAAGAAATGATGTGTCAATTTAATTTAAAATGAGCCTGTCCCTACCCCCCCCCCCTTTTTCCATAAAAAAGCATGTTAGTTGCAAATCCTTTACATACCGTAGATTCTGCAAAATCATCCCCGGCATTTGTTAGCTGTTTGTGGTAAAGAGAAGGGCATAAATCCTGGATGAGCACCCAATTGTAATGATGCTATCTTCAACGTGTTGGGTGATAGAGAAGATGACTGGCGCGTATAGTTTTTATTCCAATATTCTCAATGGCATAGGTTTCGAATGCTACTTTAACACCTACCTCTGGACTTGCATCAGAACTTCTCTATTTGTTAATACTGCCGGACATAATGAAAGCTGCAGTAACGTGATATACACAGCGGTTTTTTTAAAAAACAGGAAATGCATAATGACACTGATAATCGTCTGTAAATTACTTCCTCTTTACAATAGTTATTCTCCAATCACCTTGCCTACACTACTACATATATACTTCTCCACACACCAGTCACCGTTAACCCATTACATATGCGACCTTTACCAGCAGTTCTATGATACGACAGTTTCCTACGACCTTTAGCTTATAAACTCTTCAAACGGCGTTCTCCTGCTTACTCATTTGATCTTCAGACTTGGTTATTCCGTACCGCACTTATCCTTGCACGTATCCTTGCAGGGTCCTACTGTCTGGTTTTCTTATGATCTTGAACTACAACTCAATATGTAGTCATCGCAATGTAGCAGGTTATTTTTATGTATGCTCTCAACGCGCCATCCAGGAAAGGTTCTCTTTACATTACCACCTTTCCCGCTTTTATAACCTTAATCCTTGATAGGCTGTATCCACCGTCGTGCTGGTTCATCCCTGACTTTACTTCCAGAAACTATGCCCTTCATTACTGTCTGTTTAAATATTATTGCGTTCAGTATGGCCCAAGTTTTTCAGTCCTCCCCCCCCCCCACCCACAAGTATACTGTCAGACAGTCGTGCTCTATGAAATTAATCCACTGAACTGTGACCAAGAAATTTAAAAGGTGAGGGGCCGAGAATAACGCACTCACAGAAGAAAAAAATTGACGTTTAGGCAGGTGCCTTTCGTGACACAGATCACAACTAAGTATATTATATTCGCTCCACATCTCCTATAGTAATTGATGCGACCCCTCACACTCGCTATGTATTAGAGACTGGTGGCCAGGATACTGTATCCCTTGTCGCTGTGGTGATTGGTGTCGAGAAAGGCTCTGGCCGAAGCGTCTGATTTTTCTTTCATGAGTTCGTTGGTCCTTTTCCCCCATTCGCTTAGTTTCTTAATCCTTGTTCAGTCAAAAAATTGCTTAGTATTAGCTTACCTGTCATACAATTCATTAAAGAAGACGGTTTAGCCACCTGAAAAGAATGCCCTGCTACCACGGAAAGCCACGCTGCAGAAATATAATAAACACAGAGCAAGGGAAAGACCACAAAAGAGATGGAGTGATACCATCAGGAGCAGCCTAACAGAAATAAACACCAGTTTGTACAATGCATTGGAAAAAGCGCACAAACGATGCTTACACGGTCGGTGTTCGAAACCCGGGAGGGTTGGCAGGGTTCACCCAGCCTCTAGGAAATGGGTACCAGATTTAACACTCTGGGTAAATGGAGAAACTTCACTTAGCTATGGAGCTTCGTGTGCAGGACGACATAGGCGGACAGTATGTTATCAGCTGTCCGCACTGGTAGCAGAGCACTATATGGTTTATAACCGTGGGCAGTGATGCTGGCTCCCATCTCCCGACTTTACTTTAGTATTTTTCTTCTTCTTCACCACAATCAGACTTTATAATCGTTTTGTGGCACGCCAATATCACTGTGTTATATGGCCATACTGGAGCCCAAATGGTAGAGTGGATAGACTTTCGCATGCGGTTCGGAAGTTCCTGGGTTTGGGTCCTGACAGAGGTGGACTTTAAAAAAAAAAAAAGACCTTAGCTCCCAGGTAGAACCAGCCTTTAAACGGGCACCAGATAAAGTCATGGTAAGTAAAGGCTGCATGTGTAATGCTGACCACATAACCAACCATGCAGACTGGTTTCGAAAATATAGTTTCTATACCTATATGTCAAATACGCTTGAAAAAAGGGTCCTTTGAAATCATACAAAGTTAAACAAGGTTCCGGGAGTTGTCGCGGTTTGATTCTCATCTTTGAGATGTTAATCCTACATACTGCAGTCTTGGAGGTTAAAAAGCTACACTTTGATTCTTACTGTGCATTAAAGTTTAAAGTTCCTGAATTAATTTTGTAGTCATTGCGAAATATTGTATGATTCTCATTCGCGAAAACCGTATTGTATCATCACCTTCTATCATCATTTCGTTCAAACCGTTCTATCATCATCAAACCGTTCTAAACCGTCATCAAACCGTTCTATCATCAACCTTCTATCATCAGCTGTTCTATCTATCATCAAACCGTTCTATCATCAAACCGTTCTATCATCAAACCGTTCTATCATCAACTTTCTATCATCAGCCGTTCTATCATCAAACCGTTCTATCATCAACCTTCTATCATCAACCTTCTATCATCAGCCGTTCTATCATCAACCTTCTATCAACCTTCTATCATCAACCTTCTATCATCAACCTTCTATCATCAAATTTCTATCATCAGCCGTTCTATCATCAAACCGTTCTATCATCAAACCGTTCTATCATCAACCTTCTATCATCCAGCCGTTCTATCATCAAATATAGGATGCATCTTTTCAAGAGTATCATTTTAAGCTCCCTTTTTTGGGAATGTGCGCGTTTCATAATATTCAACATTTATGTTTGACCTACTACGCAGGTTAATAGAAACCACACAATTCTGCAAAAGCATTGCGAAATTTCATTTGTTAGCGGCAGAATTACAACCGCGTCGTTTCTGAAAAGCTTCGTGCAGATGAGATTTGTTTACAACAAAAAGAAACATTTGATTTTTTTACAGTAAAAACTCGTTTTGTGCGGTATTGAAGAATAATAAAATGTTATGTCAAGAAAAAGGATAGGGGTATTTTTTTAAATCTAAAAACATAAATTAGAAAATACATTTTTATTTCTGCGTTATCTTTTTTTTTTTTTTTTTTTTTAAATAGGCTCTTCTCGAGGGTTGTCAGAAAGTAAGCAAATGTCTTTTTGTGCGTTAAGTAATGCGGGGTTAAATCAGATCATAGAGGCTTACCACATAAGCCTCGCATCTTCAATAAAATCTAATAAAAAAGGAGGGAGGGGGGGGGGGGGGGGGTTAAGTCGACCTAAAACGTTTTAATGAGTCCATGCGTCACACACAAACACACACACAAACACACACACACACACACACACACACACACGCACGCACGCACGCACGCACGCACGCACGCACACACACACATACGTTGAAAAAACCTCATAACAATATAACTATAATGTCTCTGCATCGGAACCCACAGGGGAATTAAAAAAAAGGAAGACCAAACACACACACACACACACACACACACACACACACACACACATACACACACGGAGAACGGAGCTAGAGAAAAGTTAAAAAGATGGAGAAAGCTGCATGCGACAGCGAAGGACACAGCGACTTGGTGTGAGTTGGTTGAGTGCCTATGCTCCATTGGG